GGGGGCTCCGCCAGCACAGCCGGGCTCCAGCCCCACAGCGGCACTGCCAGCGGCCGCCCCTCTTCCGGCCCGTAAGCCCTCGGTGCGTCACCCTCACCGGAGGGGAGATGCTCCCCTCACGGCCAGGCCTCCTGAGGCAACAGGCCTTCAGCTCCGCTGGGCCGAGGGGGGCACAGGCCCCCCGATTTCTAGCAGCTCGGGGGCAGTTTGGTTGCCTTTGGTCAAGCAACACCCCACATGGAACTGGATTTGGAGACAAATCCAAGCACCGCGAGGTAGCTGCTAGACTTGCTTCACTCTATTGCACTCTTTAGTCTCTGTAATTTCCTGTTTGCTTCAAAAGCTATTTTTGCTAAGGGAAAAAAAATAAATCAAACATAACAACTCTGTCTCTTCCTTAGCAGGAGAAAACAAAGATTGGAGTGAGCCTAGCAGGGGTCACCAATTAACTACCCGGCAACTGCCTGGCTCACCTGCTCGCTCAACAGTCCTTCAGTCCCATCAACACAAGCTCTGCTCCTCCACCAGCCGGCTCCCATCAGCCAGTCCCACACCATGGCATGTGAAAACATAATAGTTCTTGGCCTTCATAGTCGGGGTTTTTTTGGGGGGGTGGGGTTGTCTTTATGGGATACCTTTGCAAAGCTTTTGCCAGTTTTCTCCATAAATAGTCAAGGATAGAGATGCCTACTGAAAATATGTGTATCTACATGCACATATGTGGTAGACAAGAAAATATCCTGGCCCTGGGGTGATGCTGGTGTGGTCCCAGCACCAGCTGTGCCTAGAGGAGGGTTCTCAGGGCAGCTCTGAGCCCACAGTTCATGCCTCAGAGCCCCAAAACCGCTGAGGACCCACACACAGTGAGGCCCCAGGTGTGCACATAGCCCAGAAGCCAGCCTCCCCCCAGTCAGTCAAGGAGCCAAAGCAAAGCTTTAACTGGCTCTCCAACTTCAACAGTCTTAGCTGGGCTCCAGGAGGCAACGCTTGTGCACAGGAAAAGGTCACCCGGCATCACTGTGAGAGAGGGAAAGCACAAATACAGCAGACCTGTCTACAGGGTCTGGTCTCCACCAGGACACCATGACAAGGAGATGGGGCACCCTGGCCTCTCCAAGCCCTTCTTCATGGGCTGTCCACAAGCTTGGGACAACCTGTTGTCTGATGTAAACCAAACCCAGCTGGGCTGGTGGCCACCTCCCCAGAGTGTCCTCAGCACCCTCCCTCTCCAACTAACCCACCACAGGTTTCAGTTACCTTCAGGGCAGCCTGGCTGCGCAGCAGCAGATGCCAGGAGAAGGTGAGGCGAGAGGAGCCCAGGTGGCTTCTTCAGGGATCTTTGCCTTCCCTGCAGCTGTGAGGAACAGCTCTGGCTGACTGCGGGGAAGATCACAACTCTAGGATCTGGGGTACTCATAAAATCAAAGCCCCCACCATGTCAGCATCCATCCTGGCTGTTCTGCAAGAGTCCCCGGGAGCAGCAGGCTGGCCACACAGTCCTCCAGGGCAGGGAGTCCACAGCCACGCTTCCTCCTCCAGGGAAAAGCAGGGAAATCTGAACCGTGAAGAGGGGGTGTGGATCACCCCACCCAGCTCCTGCTGACCTAAAGATCCCACTGATCTTGTCTGTCCTCAACCCGCCCACGCTGCAGCTTGTTCCCCGCGCAGCTGGGGTGCAGGGAAAGCCTCCTGGCCAGTCCTGCAGGCTGGCGGGTGGCACAGCTGCTGGAGAGGGTCTCCAGCTCTGCGGGGAGCCGGGGACACTCACCGCCAGCAGACGGCGAGGAGACACAGGCGAGCCGAGGAGTTGGCTCGACACGCGCCGGAGGGGTGCAGCGCAAAGCACAAAGGCTCTCCCATCCTGGCTGCTCTGCGCTGGAACGCAGCATGGGAACCGCTGCCCAGCACAAATCTGTTCCTCATTATCCGTCCCGGCTGCCGACTGGTCCCGGCTCCGTCACCAGCCACTCGCATCCCATCAGCAGAGCAACTTCTGCACGACTTCACTAGCCAGCACTGCAGGGCAAACCGGGACCAGTGCTGGCATCCACCCCTCCGGAGGTGATTCCGGAGCGAAATGTATTTGTTCTCTCCACCAACAGGCAGAGGAGGCTTCCAGTGAAAGCAGGGAGCAGGGACGGCTGCTTCATGTGTGGAGAGCCGGAAGGCAAGTGCAGAATTCAGGACTGGTGTTCAGACTGATTGTACCAGGGTGAGATGGGTGCCAGGAAAGACAGACAGGAGCAGAAAGGAGCAAAGAACAGACTATTGTGTTTCAAAAATGTGTGTACCCAGGTACGATCAGACTGAACCCCTGAATGCTCCTGCATTTGCCTTCCCGCTGTTTGTGAAAACATGAGTGTGGCCAAAGCCTCTGCCACACTTTGTGCTTGCTGGGGCCAAGTGGGAGGTGAGAAGCTGGGCTCCCATTCACTAGCTTCCCACTGCTTGTGCCTGTATAGGCCATCGTGAAAACATCACACGAGGGCGTCAGAAGTGCTCCAGAAATAGAGCAGAATGAAAAATCATGCAAGGTTGCCCGTGAGTCAACAGCACCCTTGCTGCAATGGAGAACATGAAGCCAGCAGGTTTAAGGGAATGATTATTCCTCTTGACTTGGTATCTGTGAGACACAACTGGGTACTAGCTCCAATTTGGGGCTCCCCAGAACAATATATATATCAGAGAGAACCAGCTTTAGGAAGACAAGGTGAAGAGGGGAGCTACCTACAAGGGGGCACAGAGAAACCAGAGCCCAACTCTTCTCAGGGATGCAACTGGAAGGACAAGAGGCAATGGGGACAAGCTGCGTCAGGGGAAATTCTTGCTAGACATAAGGAGAAAATCATTCTATGCAAGAGTAGTGCAGCCACGGTGTGGCTCTGGGACAGGCTGACATCTTCACATTCAGGGACTTTCCAAGCCCAACTAGACAAGGCTCTGAGCTGCTTGCTATAGCTTTGCCACCAGCCCTGCATGGAGCCAGTGTTGGACTGCAGATCTCCTAAGCCCCTTCCAGCCTCAAATCTACCTGATACTCCAACATGCATTGTGCAATGGTGAGGTGGTAATTTTAAGACATGCTGCTGCTTAGCTGACTTGGGAGATGGCCAACACCATCACCCACAGTTTGGCTCTTCCATCCAGCTGATGCCCCTGTTACCAGAGCTGCCTTACCTCCTCTGCTGACTTCACAAGTTCTGGTACCACAGAGAAACTGGAGGAGCTGAGCACTGGAGAAAGTAAATCACCATGGAAAAAATGTGCAGATTTAATGGCAGGCTCTAAGGAGAAGCCTGCGTGCAAAATAACAGGTCTGTGATAGTCAGGCAGCTCTGGGATGGGGTTGCTTATAGTAACAGTAAGAGGGTTGCATGTTCCTGGTTACAGTCTGAAAAGCAACTCCTTTGGTTATGCCTTACTTTGTCCTGGGGAAACAGAGGTTTGGGCACATGTGTTCATGGTTTGGCTCAGTTCTTGTGTTTTTCCACTGAAGGACTTGAGTATTTTTAGGCTGAAAGATGGCTCTATACTATGCTGGAAAGATCAGAGCAGTCCTGTGCAGGCAGGACGCTGCCTGCTATCTCTCCCTGTAAAGTGAAATACAGAGATTGGAGTATGAGAATACTGAATAAAACCCTGTGAAGAAGGGTATAGTAGGAGCCACCATGCCTGGTCACAGCATGGCTGGGGTTGAGGGTGGCAAGAGGGGGCTCCAAGCTCACCAGCTGCTGGCTCAGATAACCGTGTGAGACAGCAGCAGCCAGCCCCAGCATTTCCCAGAGTTGGGATATCTGCTTTTCCTCCTCTGAAGACCCGAATGCAGTAGACCCACTGCTTCCAGGAAAACAACCTGGCCTGCACAACCTGTTGCACTGCCAAAGTGATTGTGTCTGCAGAAGACACTGGCACAGAGGTCTGGCATACAGTGCACGGCTCAGCCAGCATTGCTGGGTAGTGAGACGTGAGGAAGATGGGAAGCGTCAGGAGCAAGAACTTCCCAAGGGACCAGTGCAAAGCTCTCGGGGCTAGGAGCTGCGTAGAGACCCTGCCAAAAAGGACCTGAGGGTGACGGTAGATGCCAGGTTCAATATAAGCCAAACATCCATCTTATGAATTAAGAAAACCACATTTACTCTGCTTTAGGAGAAGAGGAGCCAGTAGATTGAGGGAAGAGCAAAGCCAGCACACACCAATGCAGGAAGTTCCTGTGAACCAGAATACCCTGAAACAGACCCATATTTTTGGCAAATGAAGAGGAAGCACAGCCATGGGAAGATCTGGGCTCCCAGCACTCTGCTGCTGTGCAGGCAGCCATGACAGCGGGCAGCAAGGGCCCTGGCTGCCTGCTGGCCTCTTGCTGGCTGCTCCCCGAGGCATGGTCTAATGACGGCTGCAGGCAAGCCTCTGTTTGGAAAGAATTTCACATTTTCCACAAACATTGTAGAAATTAGGAAATCCAGTTAGGCTCACTGAGTCTGAGAGGGGAGCTGTGGCCTCAGTGGAGAAGAAGCCCAGGGCTATGGTGCCTGTGAGGGAGAACTGAGCCAGGAGCTGCAAGAACCAGGATGTGCAGAGGTTCCCAGACAGCAGAGAGACCAGACTGCAACATCTGCTCCAACTCCAATTTATTGACCATTACAAAATACTCTGCATATATTTTCACATTAAAACAATATTCTTGCAAATAAGATAGTAAGTCTTGAGTCATTTGTGGTGCCCATGGCTACAGAAAACACTGACCCAGCTAGAGATTTAGTATGGCCCAATATCAGAAATCAAAACCAGAATAAGGCATACCAGAAATGCAAAACTATATAAAAATCTTTTAAAAACCTCATGCTTGTCTGATGGGACAGGTACAGAGGAGAATGGCCTTTGCTGAGCCTGGGGGTACTGCCAGCTTGATTGCCCCACATTGTGCATCTTAAGTGTCCTCTTGACACCTGCTGTCTCAGCACACCCACGTAGCTGGAACAGGCAGTTATTTACCCGCTTTGGGGCATTGACAACCCAAGTCCCCATTCTTACCTAAGAGGAGCATTCCCCAACCCTCCTGCATTGCTGGTGCCCTGTGCTGAGCTTTTGCATGCCAATTCTTGGGGAGCAATTCTCAGCCCTTGGAAGTCTCACCAGGAATAATTCATTGTGTGGGCCATTGCCACCAGGTCTCACCATGCTGTCATGAGGGACCAGGGGTAGTTGGGAGGCAGGGAGTGGGGACAGACCTTAGAAGATGCACTCAGTTCTCGCTCATTACCCCTGTTCCTGATGTACATTCATACCTGCTGCTCACTCCACTCCTTTCACCATGATCAGCCCTCCCAGCTGATGGGCCCCAGGCAACTGGAAGGACTGGGATGTGGGCAGGGTGAATGCCAAGAATGCTGTGCGGGACAGCTGCCTCCTAGCCAAGCCAGAAAGCTGAACACCGCAGCTATTGGGAACACATCCAGACAACAGGTGTGAGGCTGGCACAGCAGGCTGGCTGCTAGAGGAGTCCCTGTGCGTACACGTTCACTAGTCAGGCTCCTGGTGGAGCCAAACCCCGGGAGCACTGCTCCCAGTCCTGAGAAGGTCATGGCCTCGCCTCTGTGGTACCTCCATAACCTGGGGAACGCAGAGCTGCAGTGGCGAGGAGCCCATCTCTGGCCTCCTGGCTGAGCTCCATGCTTGCTGTCAGGAACCAGCCCTGTAACCCCCTTGAAGTCAATGGCTCGGTCACTGGGTGTGGATGGGCTCTTGTGCATTGGCCACCGCTCCCAGCCCTCTCCAGAGGTCTCCTACCCACAGTCAGGCTGGAGATCAGCTCATGCTCTTACACCTGCGAGCAGTCACGGCCTGTTAGCCAGCACCCACACACCTCAGGGCGGCGCAGCTGTGACACGTCTGAGTTCGGCTGGGATCCCAGCCCTGGGAGGAACATCTCTGGCCTCCCAGTGCTGTGAAGATGTGTAGCAACCAGAGAGGAAGAAAGAGGTTTGGGGTCTGTGCCTCCCTGGGTGGACAGGGGTTGGTACCTGCTGCTGCAGCATGAAGCCCAGTTATCGACCAATTTTGCATCAATAGGTGCATGAGCAAAGCCCACCCTGGAGTGCAGCTCCAGGAAGAGTACTGGGCTCTCCTGCCACTCCTGGAGTTTGTGGAGACACACACAAGCTTTACAATGCAAGACAGCACAGCGGTCAGCAGGTTGCAGCCCGTCCACAGCCCCCAGCCCCTTCCCCATCCAGGGTCTGCTTCAGAGGTGGCTTGCTCTGTTGAACATCAGCCACCTGGGCTCTGCAGTGGGCAGCATCCTGCCCTGCTCCTCCATGGCCATCAAAGGTTGCAGCTCCTGCTGCTCAGCGCCATCCGGGCTGCTGTCACTCTGTGACCGGCCGCTCTTAGAGACGTGGCTGGGGAACTGGAAGCAGGAGCTTTGCTCTGGCATCGCCTGGCTTGCAGACTGGGGCTGCTCCTCCAGCACAGGGCAGGCGAATCTCCTGTGCTGAGGTCCACTCTCGATGCCTGGAGGGGAAGCGATGCTCTCCAGGGAGGAGATGCTTTGGTTCCATGCCTTCTGCATATCCACTGGCACAATTTTGGTGGTCTCCGATGAGACGTAAACAGCCAGATCAGCCTGGTCTCCTTTCCACGGCAGCTCCTTCTCTGCCAAGGTGGGCGATGGCGGGATGATGCAGGGGCTGGGGCAGACATCCAGGCTGCCTGGGGATGCAGGAGAAGGGACAGTGAGAGGGATCTTTCACAGTTCTTTCTCTCTCCCTGGGCCCTTGCAAACATTGCAGAACCAACCACTGCCATATAACCAGCTGGCCCAGGGATGCAGTATCCACCAGGGAAGCTCTGTCGTGCCTCCAGAGCCACAGAGAACAGTGATTCTCCCATTCATGCTCTTCTGGCTTTGATTTTGCCCAGGTCAAGGCAACTTTTCTCCCCAGGTGGAGGAAGGACAAGCTACCCAACAGCAGCTGCCCTGGTGTGAGAGCATCGATGCCTACCAGGAGTTGTCTTTCCCTGAAGGACTTCATCAGTGGCTCGAGCGATGAACACAATCCCTTCATCATCCTCTCTCTCTGTCTCCGAGCTATCGCTCTCCTCCTCCTCTGAGCTGACCATCACCAGGACAGGAGCTGCAGCCAGATGGAGGGAGTAGGTTTGGAGGATGGGGCACCCTGTGGGGGAAGGACTGCACTCATGGGAGAAGGACTTGGTGCTAGCACAACCCCGGGTGCTGTCATGCCACCAAGCTGGCAGTGGGCAGGCACAGCCAGCTGCTCCCATCTTACCACCTCAGGTCTCCTTACTAGGACCTGCAAACCTCGCCTGCCACCAGCCTTACCTGCCTCCTGCCAGGGGACATTTCTGTGTGTCTTCCCATTGGGCGCCTCGCTGGTCAGAGAGATGTTCTTCTGCAAAGGAAGAGGGACTCGCTGGGACCTGCCCCATGCAAACCCCTAACCACAACCCACGTGGCCCTGCAAGCCAGGGTAGCCCTGGGGACATAGATTCCCACCCCAGCGAGGAGGCAGCTGGCAATCAGTGCTTCCTAGCCCTTAGGCACTGTGTCTTCATGGCCCTACAACAAACAGCTCAGCTGCAAGTGTCAAAAGCCTCCAAACAAGAGAAGACACCCAAGGCTTAATTTAAGGTGTAGTGCCACACTTCTGAGCCTGGATCTGCACCGATGTTCAGGCTACTTTATGCTGAGTGCTCCTGGAAAACAAACATGGGGCTCCTTCAGGGCTTGGGACCACTTTGCCTGGGAAGAGCCACCCCACGGCAGTGTTGGTGTGGTGGGGACACATGGACATGCAGCACCCGCATGCTCACACGCAGCATACGCAGGACTGAGATGAGAAGAGCCGCTTTCCCCACTGGCTCTGGAGCTGCCGATGCCCTGCAGCACCTCACCTACACCCCGCTCACTGTCTGCATCCTGGGGGAGGCCAAATCTCAGAGCTTGGAAAGGAGTGGGAGGTTGGGGAGTGCTTGCCTTTTTCCTGCCCTTCTCCTTCAGCCTGGCCTTGCTCTTGGAGGAGCAGACGTTATGCTTTGTGGACTTGAAGGTCTCCAGCCGCCTCTTCATGTTCTGCCGGAAGATTTCTTTATCTTGGCGCTCTTGTTTATCTGGAGAGATGAAGTGACGGCTGTAGCTGGCCTTGTACTGGCCAAGGGAGAGGCAAAGAGACACAGGGTGAGCAGCTGGCCACACAGAGCATCCTCCATCCCTGCTCCTCTTGCAGGTGCTGCTACCCTCGGGGTCAGCTGCACACCACGGCCAGGGAATGCTCACCCGCCGGCGAGGCTTGTAGAGGCTCCCTCGCAGCACGTGGTGCATGGCGGCATCCTCCTTGTCCCGGCGGCTCCGCACCGTGTCAATGACCTGCAGGTCCAGGCATGCGCCGCTCCCGCTCTCCCTCCTGGGGGGCAGATGGAGATGGAGGGAGATGGAGAAGGTGGGGCTGGGCTCTCTGCCTGCATCCTGCCAGCCTCCTGCCAGCCCTACCACAACCCACCCACCCCCAGGGAAGAAGGCAGCGGTGGGGGTCCAGCAAGGTCTGCCTAGGGACACTCGCACTCACAGGAGGTTTGTGACCGACGACTCCGACATGGACGTACGGCTGGGCATGGAGGGCAGCGCCAGCTTGGCAGCTGAGAGCACGTGGCCACCCTGGGAAGTGGGAGGGCAAGGTTGGCATCGGGGCAGCAAGGACCCAGGTGGGCTGGGGGGGTCCCCACTGCCTGAAGAGGGTACACATGTGGCCATACATGGTGGGGACTGCCAGCCAGATCCTGTTGGGGCCATCCTGCCACCTGGCCTCCACCACAGGCCCCTACCTGGTCGACAAAGCTGATAGCATCACGGATGTTCAGCTTGTAGTAAACGTCCCAGATCTCATCTCGCAGCCTGTAGGCAGATTTCCGCATCAGGAGCTGGCTCAGGTACTTCTTGTCAAACTGTTCCCATCTGCCATGAGATGAAGACATGGGCAGTTTAGCTCCCATGAGGTACCACGGCCAGGGACCCCCTGCCCATGTAAGTTTGAGAGTGTCCAAAGCATGGTGAAAGCAGGCTGGGCATGCAGGACCTGGCTGTGCCCAGGGACATGCTGCCAGGGACAGCTGGAGGGGACACACTGACCCTTCGTCCCCACTCAAGGGGAAAACAGACACCAGTGGGTCTGTGGGAGGCAATGGGAGGGGGACTGAGGCTGGCATGGCTGCCCTCGTGGAGAACTTCCCTCCAGGAAACAGGCTTTTAACATCCTTTTCCTGTTGCTCTGCTGCAGATAAACACTGCCTGGGTTTTAACGGGGCTTTTCCTTCCTCGACGCCCAGCACAGCTCCATCCATGGTGAGGCACAGGGTCCTCGCCACCACCATGGACACCCCACAGCCCCCCAGCAGCTCTGGCACAGGCAAGGAATGCCAGCTCCCACAGCATCCCCAACCACACCCACCCGGCCTCTCTCTGCGATGCTTTTGGGACCTTGGTCTGCTGCACAACAGCAGCCAGATGGTCCCCTTCCAGACTGACTGACGGACAGACATACAGCCTTCCTGCTGCAGGGGTGTCCTCCAGTGGGGACCCTGAAATGTCCTCATGGCTGCTACATGTCCCCCATCCACCTGAGAATCCTGGCTAACACTCACTTGTCCCGCCAGTAATGGTAGCCATGGTGTCCCACGATGTCCTCCACCGCTGCCAGGATGTGGTCAAAGGCCTTGAGTGAGGAGAAGAGGGGTGGAAGCTGTAGCAAGGCTGCGGGTGCCCCAGGGGTGCCAAGGCTGTGCATTGCCCTGGCAGTGTGGGGAGACGGGCAGCCTCCGGCACCAGCACCTACGTGCTCGTGCAGCTCCTCGTTCAGCGTGGGCTTGTGGTGGTCACTGCGCTTCACCTTCAGCCACGTCACCAGGGGTTTGATGGTGAGGCCCTGGAATGGGAGGAGAAGGCAAGGGAAAGACTGGGAGGGCAAGAGGGTACATGGCTGGGGCACAGGGAGCAGAAGCAGCACGAAGTGACCAGGGACAGCAGCTTTTCCAACCGTGTGTGCACCTTCCAACCTGACCCCCTGTGCCTGGGTCCTGTGAACCAACATGCAGCAACCATGTCATACCCCTCCAGTCCCCCTGCCCCTAGGCTTCCATCCCCTTCTTGGGGTGCAGGAACTCCAAAGCCAGGGGCCATCAGCAGCTCTGTAAAGAGAACAGCCTGTCCAGGCACATGCTGGTGCTGCTCTTGGAGCCAGTCCCAGAACAAGAGGCTGACAGGGAAACAACATGGGCCATGGCCCCACTATCACAACAGTTGCCACAGCAGTCCTGCATGCCAGCCTGGTGATGGATGGGGTGCCAGGAGGCACCAAGGACCAAAGGCCACTTGAAAAGAGGTCCTTTCCCCAAACACATGTCCCTGAGCACCCGCCTGGTGCCCTAGGCCAGCTCTGAAGCAAGAAGGCAGCACTGGAGGAGGGCATGGTGCCCATCCTCACCTGCACAATGACAGTGAAGAACACCACCACGATGGTCGTTGCCACAAAGTAGTCCTTGGCTTTCACCTTTGCCCTGTCCAGCAGGATGACCAGGGCAAAGGCCACGGCCCCGCGGAGGCCACCATATGACATGACCACCTGGTCGATCCTGTCCAGGGGGATGAGGCGGAAGCGGTTGAGCACGTAGGTCTGGAGGACAACACCTAGGGAAGAAGGAGGAGAGCCTGGGATGCCAGCAGATGTCTGCTCCTCGAGACAGGGCAAAACCCCAGCCAGGATCCATGGCTGGCCTCATGCCCCAGTCTTCCTTAGGGGACACCACTTTTTGGTGTTGAAAGACTGACCCACAGCTCTGAAAAGCAGGATAAAGAACAGGGTGCCCAGCACCAGTGCTGTGTCCCATGCCCACTTGGAGGTGTCCACAGCCGAAATGCCCAGAAACATGAAGATGATGGTCTCTGAGCTGCTGGCCAGTGTCTTCATGGTGTACTTGACCGTGGTGCGGGATTTCTGGGAGATGTTGGCTTCCACGTACTTCTTGCAGCAGATCCCACAGAAGGTAACTCTGCAGAGGGGCAGAAGGAGCTGGCATGACCCTACAGCGGGATGAGGAATGGGTCTGCTCATCGCCTCCTGCTGCTCAGCACTGCACCCCCGATTTCCTGGACCCGCCCAGGGAACACCCCAGTACTCACGCCAGGATGGAGGAGAGCGAGACCATCTCGGCAGCAAGGTACGCGACGTAGGCCAGAAGGAAGACAAAGAGCGGCTCGATGATGCGCACGCGCTTGGTGAACCGCGTGATCAGGGCCAGGAGGAAGGCGAAGAGCAGCCCCACAGCTGTGCCCCCCAGGCTCACCAGGAAGAAGGAGACTGGTGGGGGGAGAAGACTCCTTTGCACCATAAGCAAGCGAGCCCAGCTCCTGTGCCCCACAGCCATACCACACTGGGCTGGCCAAGCCCCGTGTTCCACCCAGCTCCCCACAAAGCCTCCCATGATGACGGCTGGCATGTGACCACTGGGATGGAGATGACAGAGCCGTGGTGCTCTGTGCCCACTCCACAGCACGACAGCATCCGTGCTTCCCCCCCCCACTTCTACGCTGGAAGAAGAGGCAGAGGGCTGATGGGGTACATACTCACCTACCCCCTTCACGTAGTCCGTGGCATGGATGTGCGCTGGGCCCAGCTCCACAAAAGAGTTAAAGACCTTGTACAGCACCTGCAGGCAAGGCAAATCCCTTGGGGAAGGCAGGGTACTGCCCTGCCTTGAGAGGGGCAGCACCTGCAGGTAGGATGAACCCTGCAGAAGAGGCATCGCCTGCCCCAAATCTGCCAGGCAACACAGCTCATCTCAGCAGGCAAAGGAGAGAGGAAAGACCAAGAAGCATGGTATGGGTCTGACCCTGGCTTGGGGATGTCATCCTCTGCCCATCCTGGGGGACTCCAGCACCCTGGCCCATGTTGGGCTCCACATTAAGGTCCCCCAAGCTCCAACTCACCACAGTGACAGCATCATTCAGGAGAGACTCGCCAAACACAATAATGAAGAGAGTCTCATTTACATGGACCTCTTCGAAGACAGCCAGCACTGCCACAGGGTCCACAGCTGAGATGAGGCTGCCGAAGAGCAGAAAATCCATCAGCCCAGCTTCGACGCCTGGATCTGTTAGGACAGAAGGACCAAGCTCAGGCAGACCGTCTGCCCCAGAGCCCCTCACGCCAGGCTGAAACAAGCCTGGCCCTCATCTGCTCCCAGTGACTTGGCTGCAGCATCCCAACTTGGAGTGCAGTGGGCTGAGCCCAGGAGTGCTCCCAGACCTTCAGGGTCCCCTGGGTGAAGTGGGGCTCAGCATGTCCTTGCTGCAACATGACAAGAGCAGAGCTTGGCTGTCCTCCTGGGCACCCACATGCATCACTGCCCCTCCAGCAGGTATGCACCAAAGAAGGCTCAGCAGCCCCACCTCGGGTCCATGCATTAAGTGATTCCTCGGGGGTCAGGACAGCTCAAAACACAGCCCAGGCCAGCCAGGGCCAGTGGCTTCAGCCAAGGACAGGGAACACGTCGGTGAGCCAGCAAGGCTAGCCAAGGTCGGCAACAAAAATAGCAAAGACATGAGTCAGCTCAGTGCTGAGCAGGGGCCATTTGTCCCGCATGCTTGACAGTCCTGCCAGAGCACCATTCCCAGGATGTCAGGACCTTGCTCCTGATAGAATTCCTGGGAATCCACGGCAGGGTGGGCAGTGGGCTCTGAACTTGGGGGTGCGTTGCACCTCCATCCCATCTTCTGGGGATGTGGCCCAAGCTGGGCAGCCCTGTGCACCCACCCATGAGCCCAGCTCGGTGCAGCCCCCAGAGTGCAGCACCAGTGGTGAAGGAGTTCCAGAGCGTGCCCACCACTGCGTAGGTGAGGATGGCACCGATGTTGTCGAAGAACAGACGGCTGGGCATGAAGTAGCCTGAGTCTAGGACGATGGGGGGCAGAAGGAAGAGGAAGAACATGTTGGGCTCCAGCTGGTACTCGGCTTTCTTTGCCACGGCCAACACAATGCCCCCGAGGCCCAGCCCCAGCAGGATGAGGAGGCAGCTCTCCGGGACGATGGACGTCACCTTCCTTGACAGGTGGAAAACTAGAAGGATAGGAAGAATGAGAGCATCAGCCAAACCAGCACATGGACAGAGCATCCCCAATCCACAAGCCCCACAGAAGGGTTGGCTGATTCATGATGGACCCTGGGGAGGACAAGGGAGCAGCTAAGGCTGCTTCGTGGCCACATGTGCACAGAAAGCCTTTCAGTTAGCTCCCAGGTCAGGATTCCAGGTCCCTGACTCTTTGGGATCTCTCTCTCCTCCTCAGCCACTGTCTAATAAGCCAAACAGCCAGGCATTTTGATTTTCTTGGCCTCTGGTATCTGCACTTAAAGGATAAAAGCAGCCAGCAAACACGTTCACAGTGTCACGAGCAATGCTGGCTGCTGTTCGAGTGAAGGCATCCTGGTTCACCGGGACACATTACCCCACTCAGAGAGGAGGATGCTCAGCCCTGGTGACGGGGTGACCTTGTTTGCAGCCGTCTGAGCAAGCAGATGGAGCAGCATGCAAACCACTGCAGCACAAGTCAGTCGGCCAGTCTCTGAGCCAAAGCACAACCTTCCTCAGCACCAACTAACCCACCTGCATGCAAAAAACAGGCAAACAGGCACACAGGAGCTGCAGATTCAGAGATGCTTTGAATAATCAGTTTATTCCATGAGAGGTCTGGACCAAATCTTAAAATGCCGTGAAACAGGATATAATTTTTAAAGCGAGCTGAGTATGCCCGGGTATTCATCCATCAGCAATATGGCAGTGAGCCTGCAGCTCAGGCACAAGCCAGTGGGACGTCATACCAGCCAGCACAGGGGACTTGCTCCTTGAGGCAGCCTTGTCTCCAAGGCCAGGGTAATCCCAAATCATTCCAGCTTGCATGTGGGCAACCCACCATCCCTCCAGATTTCTTCTCCCTAGTGTAAGGTGCTGTGTTTTTGCTACCCCCCAAAGGGCAGTGCTTGGGGAAAGGCTGTCGAGGTTCATGGTGGTTTTACCCCCCTATCGCTCAGCTCTGCCATTGTTTGTGACATCCAGCCCAGCTCCATTGCACAACTTGGCCATCAGGTGAAGAAACCTTCTCCTTGGGAGTGGGTTCCTCCAGACTCTTCCAGAGGCACCTCTGTCCTTGAGCACCCAGCAGGTACAAGGGACATCAGGGCAGCCTCTGAGCCGTCACTTGGCTGCAAGCCCAGCCCTGCTGTCAACCCAAACCCGTCTCTAAAACGCTTTAGCTGGATTAAAGGGGGCCACTGTTTGTGCCAAGTCATGCCACCAGAGGGAAAGCTGTGCTGTGGTCACACATCAACCCTAGGTCACTTGGATTCCTCCCTCCTTAGAAACCCCCATGGACAGACCATAAGGTCCTGTCTCCAGTGGCACAGACCTGGAGAGGAGGCAGTGATTCATCAGTAGGCTTCTGTGTCTCTGTGCCCTTGTCATTGCCCTCTGAACCTGTTCCAGTCCTGCTCTAACCTTTCTGGAGTGGGTACCAGTGTCTGCAGACACCCTGGGAACTGAGGTCGTGGCCTCCTGATGTTCTTCCTTTTTCCTTTCCTAACAGCTCTTAGTTGATTTGCTTTCCTTCACTGCAGCTGAGCACTGAATTAGAGGAGATAATAATTCAGCGTCAAAAATCTCGTTCCTAACCAGAGACAACATCTTGGAACCCACCACCGAACATGCAGGTTAAGGGACGCTTCTCCTGTTGTTGAGATCTTCACAGCAACCTGCGCTGCTCCTCAGCACGATAAGCCCTGTCTGTGCCATCCCAGCGAGCCCCGGCACTGCTCCCCTGACATAATGTGCCAGGAACACTGCTGCAGCTGGCAAGGGCAGAGCGGGGAGAACGGGGCAGCACGCTCTGCAGCTACATCAACAACCACCTCAAGGAGAAAGAGCCGCAGAGCACCCAGGGCCAAGCCTCTGCCATAGTTCTGCAGCCAAGCACCCCGGCCATGGAGCCTGGGGCACCCACCCTCACTGCAGCTGCCTCTGGTCGCTGCCAGGGGCTGCGATTCAGCCATGGAGGCAGTGGCAATACGGACGGACACTACAGCCCTCGAAGCAAGCCCACAGCTCAGAGAAGGGCTGGCTGAGCTCCAGCCCAGTCGAATTCCTGCTAAATGACTGCACAAGCCATGGCAGAGCCCTGTTCACCCCACGCGAGCCCGGCGAAGGCAGCGCCGGTGGGCGAACGGCGCTCGCTCAGCGCTTGCAGCAGGCTGCGAAACCACTTCCCGCCCACGGGAACAAAGCTCTGAAGTTTTCAAGAAGGGAACAAGGCGTCCAGCCCCTTTCTGCACACTCGGGAGCATTGCCAAGATCCAAGATCCCTGCTCCCCACTCCTGCAACCGATTTGCACTCTCCATGCTGCAGAGATATGCCCTGGCTGGCTGGAGACCCAGGAGAGCCCGCAGAGATGCTGGGGGGACATGGGGACGTGGCTCCTGGCTGTCATCCGTTGTTCTTTCCCCCAAGCCAAAAACTTGGGCAAAGAAGGGAGCAGCATTGATGGGGAAGACCCTGCTTGTCCAAAAATTCCCTGGCTGAGGGGGGATGCTGCCACCTGCCCGAGCAAATGGCAGCACATGAGGTCCTCTGCGCCACAGGGAGCAGCCAGCGGGGACGGGTGGAACAAGCTCTAATTTTACACGCGCTAGTCAAGGATTTCAGCATTAAAGGTTCCCACAGCAACAGTAACTTAGCCACATGTGAATTAACTTCATAGCCATAATCCACACTCAGGTATCCATAATACAGGATCTGCCATTGGGAGGACTTGGGGCCAAAACCTGTTCCACTCCTTCGGTGCTTGGGAAACAGTGCAACACCCAAACCAAGACACAAGCAGCTGGGGACAAAGGTGATGGTGCAAGGAGAGAGGGTTGCAACCGATGGGGATGCTGTTGAGTAGAAAAACCTCCACCTGCTGGCAAACCCCTGCCCATGGGGCAGCCGTGGGTGAGGAGCATGTGTGGGGCAATGCTCACCACTTCTCTCAACCCCACATCCTGTTCAAGCAGATCTGTACAGAAAAGGCAGCAAAACCCAGATGATGTCTCGCAGTGCAGGAAGGCAACACCCAAGCCAGTTTTTCCCCGCCCCGAGTGTTTGCTGTCTCGGGGCACCCTGGCATTGTGACCGTCTCCGAGAACAGAGCCCGCAGTGTCATTTCCCCATCACCCAGGCGCAGGGCCACTTCCTCCCCTGCAGTCACAGGGCTGTGAGCTGACAGCCCAGCACCACAACCACAGCGGCTCCTCTGCGCCAGCCTACGCCTGGTGTCCACGGCCACTGCAGCCCCCTCTGCTCCCCAACATCCTCCACCCCAGCTCCATCTCCTCCATGGGCTCCTGTGCACCCTGGGGACCATGCGTGAGTGAAGTCTTGTGTCATCTCTGGGGACACCCCTGCCAGGGTGCTGCTGCAGCCCTGCCTCCAGGTCTGGCTGTCACTCCTGGCTCCAGGCTCTAAATATCCGTCAGACCCATCGGATGTGCTGAGCCAGGCAACCTGGAGCTACCGACCACCGGGAACGTGTCTCCCAGATTGAGAAGACAATGGCCATCCGCTCACCTCAGGCCTGGAAGACTCTGGCGGGGCTGGGAGCTTGGGAATGACCCCAGCTCAGGCCCCCCCACACCCGCCGGCACTGCTGGGGCAAAGGCAAGGGTGGTGAGGGGAGCACATCAAGGGAAATCCGCACAGGGAGTAGCTCCAGGGAGACGTTTGAGAGAAGAAAATAAGAGCCAGGGAAAGGAATTGTCTCTTTGATCTGCAGGTAGGAGGGACGTGCTCAGCAGCTGGAGGTAGCACAGCTGCAGACAGAGGGTTGTATTTTTAAGCTCACGACGCCCTTTAATTAATTCCTTGCAATGCTTTATGTCTCCCTTGTGAGAAGGCAAGGAAAGAGAGGAATGTGAGGTCCACAGCAGTGGTGTCGATGATGGGACAGGCAGAGGCCAGCTGATAGTTACAGCCTGTCTCCTGCATACCAAGAGCTGCTGCTGGTCCCTGCCTGCTTGGAGACTCCCCTAAATCTGAACCCACATTTCCTGAGCTGTCTCCAAACTGAGAGGATGCCCATGCCCCCACCACAGGGGTTGTGCCCACAGTGTGGCCCCCAAGGAGGAAACCTGCCTCAAGGTCACAGTCTCATCCCCTGGGCCCAGCACAGCAGGCAGGGCACGGGGGGGACCAGCCCTCTACTCAGCACCCACACTTGGCCATCCCCTCCCCCAGCACCCAGGGTGGTGTGGTGGGGGGCACAGCCCTGCAGCTGCTCACACACACCCTCCTTGCACCTTCCCACACAGCCTCTCGCAGCGGAGCCTCCCCCTGGGCTGCATGGTCCTGTGCAGGGGAGCAGGAGAGCCCGAGGCCACGCGGGCTGGAGTGACCCCCCGGAGGGGACCACAGGCACGGACCCGTCCCCAGGCTGCCGGTGACACATTTTGCCCAACACTGGCACCACCGAGCCCTTCCCGGGGCTGGGGGGGATCAAACGGCCTCCAGTTCTGCTGCTGGCACGTGCTGTACCAGCCTCTGAGGCGTGGGACATCCTTGGGGTCATCATCTCTGCTCAGCTCCCCTTCTCCTGAGCCCTCCCTCCTCTGTGCCCACCCCCTCCAGGCCCGGGCCCCGCGTTGTCCCTCGGGCTGTACCTCACCTTATCGCCATCCCACGGGAGGGGACGGAGGCCGTGGTGCGGGGCCGTGGCGTGGGGTCGTGGCAGGGCACCGCAGCCCAGATGATGATGGTGACCAGCCGGGCTCTGGCCATTTGTCCCCATGACCCGTGTCCCGATGTGCGGTGACACCCCTCGCCCCGGCTGCCCCCGCGCCCACCGGGGATGCCGCATCCC